AATTTTATATTTTTTAAAACGATATTTAATCTGTTTGAATTTTTTTTCAGTTTTAATGAATAAGATTATTTCATAATTTTGCAGCTCAGTGTAATTTGTCCAATTATAACATTTAAAAAATGGTGGATGCGCTGGGCAAATCGAGTAAGTGTTTCTTTTGTTTTGCAAAAATTAATTTATATTAAAATTTGCAAATTTTTTTTTTATTTGGTCGAATTTTTATCTACCCTACCTATTTGATTTTCTTAGCAATAAAATACATATCTTCAAGGTGGAGGCAGCTTTAAACAGAAATTTTTTACAAATTTAGGAAAAAGTAATGATAACAGTGATTTTGGCATTTCGATTATTTTTTGGTTTATTTTTAATTTTGTTTGTTGTTAAAGTCTCTCTTTCATTAAGTCCAATCGTTTATTTAATGTTTTTTTATTAGAATTTATAAATTGGCAATTATTATTTCTCCCATTCAAGGAGATAAAAGTTAGGGATGCGCCGGGCAAATTTTCGAGCTCTCTTTCGAGCAAAAACAAATTTAACCAAATCCTTTTATAATTTGATCCAATTCTTTATTTATTGTATACATTTTTTTAATTTAGTTATTACATTTTGTCGAATTGTAACATAATAAAAATGGTAGATGCGCCGGGCAAATTTAGCAATTGTTTTGCTCTTCCAAGAAAGATTAATTTAAATTAAAATTTACTAAATTTTTTGATAATTTAGTCAAATTATAATTTGTTTTCTGATTACATTTAAAAAAATGGTGGATGCGCCGGGCAAATTTACCTTAAAATGGCGTTATTTTGACTTTCAGGGTTACTATGACATGTTTTGGGGCTACTAATTATGTTTCATTTTCAGTTTTGGTATCTACCAAAATAATGTTCATCTTATTTTTATGCCATATAAAAGCCATAACATGGCAAAAAATTACTTTAGTTTTTTTAAGAAATCATAGAGGGTGTTCCGTTTTTATTGTTACAAATTTAAGCAGGTGATAGAATATTCAAAAATATTAAATAAGGGAGCTACATCTCCTGAAAGAGGTGCATCGTTTAATGGATTTTTTCAATATTTCATCAATCATTGTAGATAAAATTACAAAATTTGGTACAACTGATAGTCTTTATACCTACAAACGAAATCGAAGATAAAATGTCTAAAGTTTTACTCAAGACCGTCCTAAACTAGGAGGGTTTAGGGTAAATAGTACCCTAACTATTTTGACAGTTAGTTCTTGCCACTTTCAGCCAAAAAATTCTAAATCCCATACTTTTTGTAAACTGATTTTACTCAAAAATGGTAAGTTGTATCGAAAAAACGCAAGAGACCTCTTTTTTGTGAAAAAAAAGGGTACTTTTTATCTTCAACCCCTCCAGCTTAGGACGCTAATGAGTGACAATCTCTACATTTTATCTTTGAATTCGAAATTTGTAACAATAAAAACGGAACACCGTGTATATTTTATGTTTTGTGTTTAATGAGTTTAATAAAATTTATTTGCATCGTATATTACATGTTTTTAGTTCTAAAGTGTCAAAGTACCCCCAAGGCTAACATAACTTTGATTTTAATTAAATAATTAAAAAATTGTCAAAATAGTTCCAAAGTCGTGGTTGCTTTGACACCAAATTTTTTTTTAATTATATCTTTGAGGCAAAATTTTGTTTGTTAGGACAGAAGAAGCAATTGTTCTGATGCTAATTTTTTCAAAAAAATATTGCAACAAATAAAAAAGTTACATTAACAAAACCTCTCAAACTATGTCAAAGTAACTCGAATTTACGGTAATAAGCGTTTTTCTCTTTCCAGGAGAGGCAAATTTGGACTATTTTTTTTATCACTTATAATTACACAAGAGTCTTTTTTTTCGAAGTAAACTTGACATTTTAGTGAGAATTTGGGTTTCTGGCAATTTAACGAAAAAAACTGCTTCTGAAAAAAATACGAGTCCGTAGGACGACAGTTTTTTGTCATAGTGACAAAAACACAGCGGTTTATAAGATTTTTAGTGTATGAAAAAAATTGTCAGTTCAATTTTCTATTTAGTGTGCAAAAATTTATAATTTCTCTTATTAAATAGTTAGAAATGGTGGATGCGCCGGGCAATTCCAGAGGGTGTTTCTCTCTCTTATACTTTACGTTTTGTATAAATCCCGTCTAATGAGCCATTTGTCGGCCTTATAAATCCATTTTAGTGGCGAATTTATGTAAAAATGTCCTAATTGAATCCCCCAGCCGACTGCGATCACACATGTCTCGATGTTATCGTAAATTTTGTCCGATTGTTGCGTCTCGAATTAATACTCCGGTTCGTAGATAAGCAATGTCGGGTCACGATAACCCCAAGACAGATCGATTGGAATTAAGCAGGCTATGCAAATGAACATGCACACTGGATTAGGGCGTAATCAGTAAACGGAACGTGACCATGGCTCACTATCTGCACCGAACAGGGAGCCCAACCGAAAATTTTCCCCAAAACTGTTTTAATATTTAGTTTCTCTCGCTATTACGTAATTTGTTTCATAAATATGGCATATACCCGTATACTCCACACTAATGAAGGTGTATTACCGGTGATGGCGCATAATTAGAGGAATATTGCAATTAAATAGAGACAAGCTCGTGTTTGCAGGATTTCGTCTTGATTAAACGCAATTAAATGTTTGATCTTTTCTTTAAATCCGGACGAAATACGATTTGACCCCTAGTCAAGGACGGGAGGTTTATCTCCGAAACTTGGAGCAAAGACAGAAAAGACACAAACAGAAAGTCGTAAATTTTATCAAAGAAAGTTTCACGATTTGTGGAAAGTGCATAGATAGCCATGCAAATAAAGTAGGCAACAAACAACCGGATTTGGTGCTAGATTTAGATTTCAAAGTTTGCAATTTTTAACAGATATTTAGTGAATCTTGAGATGATTTATACGAGAACTATTTTTGTCCGAATTGTGACAAGTCGTTTAGCGTCCATCCAATTTTGTAATAAATACCCTCCCGGAGTATTAATACCGTCGAAAGCACATCCGAGTGTCGTTTAAATGATTGATCATTTCGGACATATTCCAGTTCACCCGGACTTATTGTGTGCACTGGCCATTTTATTATATTTCATTAATCTCGATCAAGCAAGAAAAGCGGACGTTTCGTCCCATTCTCTGATTCTCTCTCAAGAGCTCTTTAACGCTAAATCGAATTTATGACGGCAATTATTTCTTTTACAGGGAGAAAAAGCGACTCGATGGAGCTTCATCTCTAAAAAATTATGGAGGATTTCTCGATTAGGTGAGCTGGATTTTGTTGTGTTTTATTTGCATCACTGGGTATATGTGGGTGACCTCCAAATCCGTCGTGTCAATTTCAACGTTACCGTAAATTACAACCGGAATATCTGAACGTGACAAATTTGCCAAACTACAAGCTTTGTTGGTGAATAATCCGAAATTATCACAAATTTCACAAAACTTAACAAGGCTTCGACAATTTATGCAATTTGTGAAAGTTGGCGGTTTTATGTAACTTTGGAAAGAAAGATTTACGTGTAAATCTACCCTTTAGTAGTTTACACAATTTTACAACAATTACAAAAAATGTAAAACTTGACGTGTGTTGCATTGTAATTTTACATAACAGTTATTCAAAAATTTGGCAGAGACTTTCATCATTTCAAAAAGTGTAAAACTACACAATTTTACAACAAGTATACATTTGGTGATTTTATTTAGACATTGTTGCAAATGTATTGGATGTAAAATTAAATTATTTTAATGATGTTATTTTTCGTTTAGTAAACTTGTTAAAAAAAAGAAAATGAAACATTGTAAAAATGCTTGCTTATTTTGTAAATTTCAAATTTTTAAAAGCATTAAGAATAAAATTACATTTTTGATATTGTTGTTAAATTTTTGTGGTTAATCTTGAGGTGGGACTTCTCATAACTATTCCAAACTTTTAATAAAACTCTCCTAACTTTTCTTTGTTTGTTTTGCCAACTTCAAAAATGATATTTTGTTTTAGTATAATTTTTTCAATTTTATATGAAATTGATCCAAAAAATTTCCAAACACAAAACAAGAACAGGGTGCAATATTACACAAAATTTATTTAAAAGCATGGCAAACAAAAGATAATAAGAGAGATTGTGTTTGTGGCTTAAATCTAGAATAAATTAATTTCACTTCATTTTGTTTGATGTCACTGATATAAAGGCTTCCAGAATTAGTTACATTAAAAACCGTGGTGATTTATTTAATTTTACGTTAAAATTATTCAAAAACTGAAAAAAAAGTAAGACGTAGAAATGTGATTTTCATTTGTAAATGTAAAATTTTTAAAAATATTGGATGTAAAATTATTATTCTCTTTGTTTATCTTGCCAACTTCAAATATCTCTTCAGAATAACGTAGAACTATATTTTTAATATAATTTTTACAATCTGATATAAAATTGATTCAAAATTTTTTTTAAGAACAAGAACAGTGTAATTTTCCACAAAATTTACTTTAAAACACCTTAAATAAAAATAAGCAAACTAAGGTTTTTAAATCTAGAATTATTTTAACCGTAAAACAACGTTTCTGATGTACTTGGTGATGGATTATGTAATTTTACGGTAAAATTATTCATAAAATTCGAAGAAGAGAGTAAAAATTTATAAAAATTTTGAAATTTTTATTTTTATATCTAAATTTTTTAAAATATTATTGGATGTAAAATTACATTATTGATATTAATGTTCAGTTTTTGCGGTTGATTTTAAGGTGGAACGCCTCTTGAGAGTAACTTGGTGCCCGAGGTGCCATTTCGCAAAAATAAAAATAAAATAAAATAAAATTGATTAAAAAATTTTTAAAAATCTAAAACAGTGTAATTTTACACAAAATTCAAATTAAAAGCGTAATAATAATAAAAAAATCAAAATAAGCAAATTATTATTGTTGTTTAAATCTAAAACAGATTGCTTCAAAACTAGAAAACCACATTTTTGATATATTTTGATGTTACTGATGTCAAAGCTTTGAGAACGATGATGGTTTATGTATTTTTAGTATAAAATTATTCAAAAACTTGACGAAGAAAATAAAATATTGTAATAATGTTTGAAATTATTTTGCAAATTTAGAATTTTGATATTGATGTTAAATTTTTGTGATTAATCTTGAGAGTAACTTCTCATGACTGTTCCAAACTTTTAAAAAAACACTCCTAACTTTTCTCTGTTTGTCTTGCCAACGTCAAAAACGAAGTAAAACTGTAATTTTGATATGGTTTTTTTCAATTTTATATAAAAAATTTCCAAACAAAGAACAAGAACAGAGTGCAATTTTACACAAAAGTTATGTAAAAACACTGCAAACAAAAGAAAATAAGAGAATTATGTTCGTGGTTTAAAATAGATTTATTTCACTTCAAAACTGTAAAACTACATTTTGTTTGATGTCATTGATCAAGGCTTTGAGAGTTAGTTAAATTAAAAACGGTGACGATTTATTTAATTGTACGTTAAAATTATTCAAAAACTTAAAGAAGAAAGTAAAACATTGTAAAACTGTTTGCAATTTTATTTGTAAATTTAAAATTTAAAAATCTTGAATGTAAAATTACATTCTTTCTTTGTTTACCTTGCCAACTTTAAAAATCTTTTCAGAATTAATGTGAAACTGTATTTTTAATATAATTTTCTCAAATGTTATATAAAATTGATTAGAAAACTTTTAACGAACAAGAAGAGTGTAATTTTACACAAAATTTATTTAAAAACATGTCAAAAAATCAACAAATTATAGTTTTTAAACCTAGAGTAAAACAACATTTTTGATGTTTTTAGTGACGGATTGCGTAATTTTACGTTAAAATTATTCATAAAATCTTGTAATTTTTATTTGTAAATCTAAAGTTTTTAAAATATTGGATGTAAAATTGCATTATTGACATTACTGTTGAGTTTTGCGGCTGAATTTGAGGTAGAACTCACCTTGAGAGTAACTTTTCGAAATATTTTTAATACGGTGCCTGAGGTGCCATTTCGCGTCCCAAACTTTGATTAAAACACTCCTAAGTTCTCCCTGTTTATCTTGCCAACTTTCCACCAAACTAATTGTTTAATTATGGCGGTTAGTGCATGAACTTGTCTTAAAACTTTCAGAGGTAATAATCATCCTAGCGTTTATAGACACTTAACCTAATTCCAGTCATTCGTTCTGTCTAATTTACTAATTTTTGCGAGTCTTTTGAATCGAGCAAATGCAGCGATAAGCTCCATGTGTGTTATTTATGTCGGCGATTGTTGCAAAAGAAAACCGGAACGAGCCGTGCCTGCCCCTATATTTAACTTGGTTATTTCCTATTGATAACAGAAACGTCATAAATGGAAACAAACTACTGCCATTTATCATTCTGGGATTATTTATTGGGTTTGACAAATCTAGGAGTTGCTTAAAATTTTGAGTGCAAGAATTAGGAGACAAAACTGTGACTTTTTAAACGAATAAATGTCGATTCTGGCAAAATTTTTATTTTAGGATTAATAAAATCGTCTCGGGACATATTTCGTCTCAGATTTTGTGTTGCCATACAAATGGAGTATCAAGAATTTTCATTTCGAAATGCCAAAACAGATTAAATATCGGAGCATCTGTTGGCTGTAAACCACTCGAAAAATTTCACAACTTGGACTAAATGAACAAATTCGCTTCGAATCCCGTCCGTTGAAATCCTAATTTAATTTTTATCGATTAGGGGATAAACTCGCAACGCTCTAGTCAAACTTTTATTTTCATTTATTAGTTTATCTATGTGTAATTCATGACTCGAAATAAAATGCTAATTTTATCAGCCAATGAAAAAGTTTTTAAGCCGTTTTACGAGCACATTAACGCCGCCACTGTATGCATTCTAAAATACCTCAAAAATAAAATTTCCCGCTTTACTTAACCGCTAACAGCATTTTATGATTCTTGTTTAGTCGGAAATGTTATCACGTGAAATACGGTTATAGCTAATTCTTTTCTTGCGAGAATTTTGAGATAACACAACCTGACATCATAACGTCGCTAGATCAAAAATGACACAAACCGCAACCTCAAGAGATTACTTGTTTACTTCTCGCGTTTTATAATTAAGTTTCGTGTGGCCCGTTCCAGGATTGTTTTTTTTTTCTCTCACTTGCGATAAAATCACCGCTGTTTATCAATTTGTTTCCTGGCACGAACCTTGTTGCCCATTTAGGATACATTCATACACACCACAAACACAGCTGCGTATAAAACGGTTCATTTGTCGGAATCGTAGGTGGCGTTACGACCGAAACGTGTCTATTTAAAACAATGACAAGGACCGGTCGATACAAAATAAAACAAAAAGAGAGGAGATGTGAGACCATTAACACGCCCGCAACGATGATTGGTTAATTGAACACACAGTTTTATAAGCGAACGATTTATTGGACAATTATGCTGAGCTCAACTGAGATAAATACGCCCACTCGCTGATCATTGGCTAACAAACACGCCTCCCGCTCTCTTTAAGTCACAGAAGAGCAGATAGTGTACTCAGTGAATAAAACACACCCACGTTGCTTTTTAATGACTTAATAATGTCATTCACTCAAAAACACGCCCACTTTTTGTATACATAGGACTAAGTGAGCGCACAACTATAAGCACTTGCTTTTCATTGGTTAACAAATACTTCTTTTTAAGTCACACTTGAGTGGAAACTGTGCTTAGTAAGCAAAACACTCCTATACTTTCAAATACGAGTACTTTATTGGCTCATAAAACTCCCTCTTCTAAAAATCAAATACGTATAGACCGGCCCATTTTCTCAAAATGATTTTTATTGGTTAATTATGCCCCCACTCAATTTAATTGACAAGTAAGTGAGCGTCCCTCTTCTCATTCTGAGTCACAAATAACTATAAACCCGTCCACTTCCTTTTTATTGGTTAATTAATTTTTTTTTTCTTTAAGTCATTGGCAAGTAGAAAATGTGCTCAGTGAGTAAAACGCCCAGTTTTTAAAAGCGACTGACTTATTGGTCTAATACACTGAGCATAATTATGCATAAACACGCCCACTTGCTTTTTATTGGCTAATTGCTCTTTCTAAGTCACCGAGGAGTAAAAAACTTGCTCATATGAGACATTATTAGCTAACAAGACCCACAGTTAAACTTAAACTTTTTTAATGCGTGCTTTTTATTGGATAATTATTATTCCCCCACTATATTTAAATCACAAATAAGTAACGAATTACTTTGAGTTACAAATAATATAAAACCGCCT